AATACATGACATTATAAATATGAATCTGATGTGTCTTGTTTTGATTGTATGTAAGCCTGAGTCCAAGGACAAGCTCGGGTTAGAACCTTTGTTTGCAGCTGTGTCCAATTTGATCACACACATAGTTTAAACAAATTAGATGTAATATGTTATTAAATTTTTATCTGTTTCAATATTGCTGACTAGCGATCGTAAGATGCGTTATTTCTTTACACTTATGTTCATTAAATTGAGTTGTAATTTTAAATGTAAATTTCAAATATGCTTCAATCGCAGTATTTGCTCTTTGAAATGCGTCTCTAATGGAAAATAAAACAAAATTGCATTATTGTTTTATTTTGACCCATATACACAGATCTACAATTCATGTAAGCCCATACGTGTACACTGCTATAATAGAGCAAATACTGTATGGGTTATCAGAAATCATATTGTTCGTCATTCAATATTGAAAAGTGCCAGATCTTAATCATGATTTAGCCTAGGGTAGTTGAGGATTTGACTAGAAGGATATCTTTCAAAGAACGGATATGCTAGTTCTAGAGTATAGTTACATATTCAGCAACTTGCTACTTTATAAGCAGCAATTACATGATGTGTATAATTGTTTTCTGTCTGTAGATTGAAGAATTTGGTGTGACTGAAGTCAGAGACTTGAAACCTAATGGTCGTAATATCATAGTCACAAAAGAAAACAAACATGAATATGTCAACTTAGTCTGTCAGATGAAGATGACTGGGGCTATTCGCAAACAAATTGATAGTTTTCTTGAAGGTTTCTATGATATCATTCCAAAGAGATTGATATCAATATTCAATGAGCAAGAACTAGAACTACTCATCTCCGGATTACCAACTATTGATATTGACGATTTGAAAGCCAATACAGAGTACCATAAGTATCAGCTCAATTCATTGCAGGTAAATGGCTGTTGTATATGTTGCTGATGAAAATATTAACATTTTTTTACTAATTTATCACTAATTTTAATTAGGGTATATCATTCTAAACTAAACTAAGTAATGACTTTGTTCTGCTAGCTCAATTGCGAATTTTTGTTTTTATAGGTGCAATGGTTTTGGAGAGCTTTGCGTTCATTTGATCAAGCTGAGCGTGCAAATTTCTTACAGTTTGTCACTGGTACATCTAAAGTACCACTACAGGGTTTCACAGCATTGGAAGGTATGAATGGACCACAGAAGTTTCAGATTCATCGAGATGATAGATCTACTGACAGATTGCCCGTTGCTCATACTTGGTAGGTCTCTTTAATATCTACTGTAGAATACTTTATTAGTCCCCGTTGGATGCAGTCTGAAAACAGGGACTTGTGTTTTGACCTCTGTGCGTCCGTCCATTCGGACCTGTATCTTAGAAATGCCTGGGCCAATCACAATCAAACTTCGCACATACATCATACACGATATTATACATATGCACATCAATTTGTTTCACGGTCTGATTCAAGATGCTGAATGGTGGCCATTTTTGTTCTCAAAATCAAGCATTTCTCAGCTGTTTACAGATGGATTTTGTTCAAACTCGGTATACATGTTGGACATTATAGGGACCTTGATGCACATCGTTTTTGTGAAAAAAAATCATCAAATATCAAGTATTTCTGGCATTTCTGGATGGATTTTGTTCAAACTTGGTAATACATTAGACATTACAGGTTCCTGATGCACGTTATTTTATTTTTTAGATCAGATTCAGAATGGCTGACTAGTGGCCATTTTGTTTTAATGAATGGGCTTCTAGAGCCATATCTCTGACATGCTTTGACTGACTATGTTCAAATTATATATAATCATTATACATGTATTTAAAATGGCTGATTTTGTTTTAATTAATGCTGTTCCAGAGCAATATCTCTCAATACTCGTTTGACGATCAGATGCAAATGTCAATCATTTAAATGTTAAACAATAGTTATAATTATATTCCAGCTATCTCACTATAAACAAAACTATACATCTTAAATTTGATAACTGCATGGCTTGTTTTAACTGGAATTAATTTTCACTGAAAAGATTTGGTATTTTGTATAGAATTTATTTTCACTGATTTTTGACAAGTTGAATGTAAAATATAGAAAAAAAAAAGGTTTATTTGCTGGATTTTATTTTCACTGAATCATTCCTTCAGTGAAAATTAAATCAAAGCAAAAATAATGTATTTTACAGTATCGTACTTCCCCGAGTATAAGCCCACCCCTCTGTTTTTAAATATTTACGAGTTGAGGGCATCCCAGAATATAGGCCCAGGGTATTATTATTAAAATATGCATGTAAAAAGTGTATTTCGTTGCATAAAAATCATGATTGGTACGGTAGTTCAGACCTTTTTATTTACTCGAGATGAACCCTGATGTTGCAATACTGAAATAATCCATATTACTTTTGAGTAGTGGTTTTCCAAATGACAAAAATGTGATTGTCAAGTCGTGAAATCTGGTCATTGAACATCGTTTCACGTTTCCGGACAATCGTGTCCATTGAGTCTATCGTGACTGAGGTGTGAACGAGCAAACTATTCTTCAACATGACTTGTTGTCGGCCGTGAAAGGTTTAAATACTTCCCCCACCCTCAGTTTACCTTTCGAAAATTGCGAATCAACAGCTTTTAGGAAAAAAATCATTGTTTTTTTGTTTTAATAGATCGCATTTTAACATTGCGGTAATTTACTTCTGCATTGCGTTGAAAAAATTACTTCGTCAATAATCGGAAAACTTAGTCTGTATGACGCAGCATTTTCATTGGTTTAACGAAAGGAAGGTTGTTCAGGTCAAATCATGATGAAAAACTCCCTAGCGGGAATAGCTGTGTATCAAGAGTTTGCGTACGATCGAAAACATTCCACAACGAAGATAATGATAAAGATCCTGCCTTCGACTGTTTTCTCACATACCCTACCTATTTTTGCACCGTAATAAAATGTGTGTATTTTTATGAAAATGTTTGTTTCTTCATTGTAAAAAGTGTTGTTGAAATAAATGACAACTCGTTTCGCATTTTTTCCCTCAAAAAGACGTAATATTCCCCACATCTACTCCGAGAGAAAATTTGGGGGGGGGGTAAGAATACAAATCTTGTTTATTCACCGGAAGTAAACACACTGTCGGGTCATTGTTGTCGGTTGCAAGAAGTCTGTACCAGTGTATGGTCGAAGGGAGACAACTCGCGGTGTCTCCAATGCGGCATGTTCATGACTCTTTTCAGTGCAAACGTAAAATCCAAATTGTTCAAAGTAATACGTAACGATAAGCATGATTGGCTAGGTTTGCTCTGAGTGAGCTGCCCTGGCACCCAGCAGAACCAATGGCTTGGACGTAGACTCGGAAGTTGTTAACGATGTCAGCCTGGTCCCCGGCTATTTTAATTTCAGCTGAACATTAAAATTCTCATTCTCATCCCTGAGTATAAGCCCACCCCCTAATTTACACAATTATACATGTTCAGGCCCCTGGGCTTATACTCAGTTATTTATGATTCTGTCATATGTTAAATGTTTTTAAAAAATTTAAATTTCAAGAATAAGTCATTGTGATGATTTGAAAAAGCATTGATTGTGAATATTATGCTCTCTAAGCCGATATGACATTTTGCTGGTGCAAGTAGTTAGGCTTATTCCATGACTTGTCTATGATTTAGCTTTGATAAATGTATAGTTGTCTTCAAAAACATCTTATTATCGTTATAATATGAAATTCACATTAACATGCTTACCTAACTTTTTTGTTTACTTAAGATCTCCACAAAGTCAGTCCTATTAGAGGGGCACACTATATGTATCTGATGTGTGAAAGACGATATGAAACTTACAAATTTATTTTCCATATCTCTTTGCAGTTTCAACCAGCTTGACCTTCCTGCTTATGAGACATACGACAAGTTAAGGCATATGATATACCTGGCTATTACTGAATGTACAGAGGGATTTGGTCTTGCCTAACCTACTTTCAGAGAACATCACAATCCTGTCAATTGTCACATGTCTTTTTTGTATTCAACTTGTTTTCCTGCTACAGTTTTATAATGTACAACAATGTGAAAAGATACTTATTTGAGTTGCATGCCTGTAAATACAATGTATAGCAAGTTGTCTCAGGTTAGGCCACAGTAAATAAATCATTTGTTTTACACCACATCATATCTTACAAAATTAAAGCAGTCCACTTGATTGTGCACTTTGTGCTCTCTATCCTGGTCAAGTCTGTACAGTCACATTCAAAAGAAGTAATTTTCAGCATGTACATGTGTGTATGTATGCAAAACAAAACTCACTTTTTCTTTTGGCGTAATTGAAAATTTAAACTAACTGATACATGTGTCAAGAGAATAGAACTCTGCTATACTTGCAGAATATGTAAATTTGTTATTTTACTTGACATAATAATCTGAACTTTCTATACAGATAAGGAAGTTCAATCAAAACTTTAATATTTTGGTAAATTTATTCTCAACCCAAGGTTGCAGTGAGCGTATTTTGCTTAATGAAAGTTGAGAGGACATTTGCTGTATGAGATTCTGCCTTCTTTAGTTGAGTGTTTTTATAGCCTATAGAAGTTTGGAAAGTTCAATATAAATGACTGGTTGGCAAGAATTTAAACACATGTATATTGACAATTATTTTCATGTTACTAATAATTCATCACTTTCAGATATATAAATATTGTTTTTGTTTAGTTTGAATGTCTCGGAATATTGCCTTTAAAAGGTATATTGGGTTGTAGGGAAGAGGTAGACCAAGGACAGAGTTTAAACTGGTGTTTATATCCATGAACAGAAACTTTAATGCATTACTTGATATCGTAGCATGCTTTGTTACTGAGGGACAGACTTTCATTTGATTTTGCATACCAGCAATGCTGTAAAAAATAAAATGAACAATCCTTATTATGTCTCTCTCTGTTTAAGTAGTGTGCTGACATCAGTCTGTAGAGGTGGTAAATTATCCAGTACTTGAACTGGTTCTTGTGATGCCCTTGATTTATAACTTCGTTTACTCATGGAGGTAAGACAGATGGAGTTACAACTGGTTTATGATCAAAGGTTCCATGATCATTTCCGTTGTTTACTCAGTAATTAGGTTTGCTTGCGAATCTAGCAGCAAACAATTAATTACCTTCCGATAAGGTGAATTTAAATATTACGAACATACTTTGGGAGTCCTCTAGAATATCTTAAAACTGACGGGCCAAAGGTCATTGTTTATATGGAGTCGTTGTGTTCGTGAAGACAAAGTCAATGATTGTTTCAATTCAGCGGAAGTATATGTTGTGGAACAGAGAACATGGTAGCGTGTGATTCTGATAAATGCCCCACTGAGTGTTGGAACTTCGATTGCATAGGGTTTCTTTCGTCTACTGCATGAACGGGGTACTCTGAAGGGACATAGTTTATGATCTTTGCAATGGTGTTATAACTAACATATAAGTGGGCCAATTTGGTGCAACCCTGCAAAAACAGCAGTTTGAAATAACCTATAGAAATTCCACCGAAAAACATAACTTAATAATAGATTGGCAGATTTTAAGCAGTATACAATGTTTAATTTTGTGTTTACCGATTATTTGCATGAATTAGCCGATTTATAGGTATTCCACTGATATCTTAAGAATCACTCATCAAATTTCCATCCAACTTATAACAGATGCATTTGAATAATCCACAGATCTCGTTACTTCAATGTTGAAACTGCATATTCATGACTACTTCGTATAAACTGGTTAATGTGACCTCATTAAAATGCATACTGAATATCCCAAGCAATTGTGGGAAAAGAACACAAAACTATGGTAGTGCTATAATTGAGATATTTGAATAGAGATATGACTAGCATATCAGATGACTATATGGTGATGTGACCTCATTAATATGCATAACATATGCATATCTCTTGCAGTCAAGGTTATGCGCATTTGGTGCTATATTGAAGACGTCAAACAAGAGATGACTAACATCAAATGACCTTATATTTTCATATGACCTCAATGTGCATAACTAATATAATATATAATAATTTTATTAAGCGATGTAAAAAACATGAATACAAATTACATTAAGAGAAAACAGTATTATAAAAAAATATAATACAAAGTTTTTAAAACACTTTAAAAATAACATTACCATTAAATTGGATTTAAATGAAGAAATGTCTTTCTAAACAAATGAGTTTGCAGACTTCTCTTAAAAACATTGATATTGATTGACGAATGGGGAGTGGAATTTCATTCCACAAGGGGGGGGGCATGATTGATAAAAGAACGCCAACCATATATTTGTGTGGTACATTTTGAATCTTGTCTTTTCAATAACAAAAGATCAGTGTTAGATGAGTTGAGGCCACTATGACCCGATTCATAACTGTCAATCAAGTCGCATAAATAATTTGGAGCTGAATTATTTGCAATTTTATAGACCGTAAACAGTACTTTAAAATTTATTTCTTTACCAATGCCAATCATAAAGTATAGATGTATTATGGTCATATTTTTTTTTTACAATTGGCTAGTCTGGCTGCTGCATTTTAAACAGATTGGAGTTTGTCTAGCTGAAATTAAAGGCATCCATAAAATATAATATTACAGTAGTCTAATCTCGACCTCACAAATGCATGGACAAACTTCATCGTAGCCGCTTCATTCAATGGAGTCCGAATTTTACTAATACGGTAAAGTGCAAAGTAAACTGACTTACCAATCTGATTAACATGGTGCTCCAGCAGTTTTAAATGTATTCCAAGATTACGGACTGAGCTAGAAAGATTTATCTCAGATTCGCCAATTCTCAATGACTTAAACATCTTAATGTTTTTTTAAAACGTGATGAAAAATGATTAACCTGCGTCTTGCCAAGGTTGAGAATTAACATGTTAGATTTCAGCTCGGCACAAATAAAGTAAAGTGTAAACAGAATCGGCCAGCGACGTAACCTTGAGGGACGGCGAATAACAAATTAGATGGTGAAGATGATAATAAGGAGTCGAACGAGATATTGAATGAAAGATAGGAAGTGAACCATTATAGATCTTGCCTACAGTTGCAGATGGTGACTGGCAAAAGTGTTACAACTGTTGTGAACACGATTTATGACTGAAATATCAAATCATGTCCCACAGCCACTTACAACCACCCTGATCACTCCTTGCAGTTATATTTCTAAATCCCGCATTTGTTCTACCTCAAGTACCACTATTCAAATTTCAGGGTCATATGATTTCATTAACAGCAATATCTGGGGGTATTTAATGAGATGACTAACATCAGATGACCGCTGCTTCAGGTGTATAAAAGAGAAAAAAAGTGGATTTACATAGTCGGCTTCCTGTACAGTTTTATTGTGTATTTGTAGAATATAGTACATTCTGGCAACCAACAATTTTGTACTTGGCTACTAGATTTTTCAGTTTGACAATTTGAACTTAGTTTCCAATGGCTACTTGAAAAAATGAACATTGAGGCCGGATAGTTGTAAGTTTTATTTTCACAGCATAACATTATAGCCAAACCGTATCGCCACATTATGACTTTGAACTTTGGATGACCCTACGTATTTGAAGGAATTATATATTCACGGCAAACCCAAGACGAAGAAACCCGGCAGAGTATGACCGTTCTGTGATTGCCACTCGCCGGTGGCACTCGTGTGGTATATGGGTACCCATGCTTGTTCCCTATTTTTAAAAAAATGTCTCTTTTTCTGTGATAATGTCTCATAAAGCACCCCCTATTTATACTAAATTTCGGAGAAATTTCAAGTAAAAAACACACCCTTCTTTCCAATATCTGGGAGCTTGTATTTATTTACCTAACACTCGTAAAGAATAACTTTTCTTATTCTTCTGGACTGTGCTGTAGATGCTGGCTCCACTGACAGAACATAGCAATCATCTAATGTCTGTTTTTAACATCTGTTTTTGGTGGCTTTCTGTGTTTTGTTCTCTTGGGGGTAGCATCTGCCAAAAAGCACTCCATTCTCTGTTTGTCACTATCCGCTAGTGTGAAACATCCATTCTCTATCATATTCATAGTGACTTTGCTAATAACATTGCTGAGGAAGAATTTCTGGCATAATTCATTCTTTGAATATTTATACATTCCATTAGGTATTTTGAGGTACAAATTAAGTAGAATAACGTCTGTGATTTCAGCTAAAGATACAAGGCCTTTTGTAGTCTGTGCTTGTTTTCTCTTTGTTTTTCATTCTCTGCACCCTCCCAATGCTATAGGTTGCTTGTAATTTTCTATCTTTTATGTACAATGCAACATCGTCAAATAGTCCAACTTCATTACCAGAAACGTTACAATTTGTAAGAGAAGTGTCAGAAATGTTTGATCTTCTTAAGGCGATCACTAGATATACCATTTGGATTGCTGTTCAATAATGTTGCTATGGTACTTTTGTGTACTGCACCTGCTCCTTGTACATGTAGTGTATTAGAGAATTTGTGGTGAACTTCATCATCAGATTAATCTTCATCTGGGATTGTATGCCGCAAGTGCGAGGCTGTTTCAATGTTAATGTCATCAAGTTCAAGCTCCAATCCATTTTCATCGTACTGTATATGATGATGTCCCACTTGCCCTTGATCTTGATTTCCAGTGTTCAGTGGGCTTGAATGTTAGCTGCAGTTGTTGCATCTATTCTGTGGGTTAGCTGGACTGTATTAGTATGAGGTTTATACCATAATGTTGAAGATCTTCCTGAGTATGTTTCATTCCGTCCTCTCAGGCACTTATCGTCATTCTGTTCATTACTGGAAAAATCATGCATATCTGAGGCAATAGTTTGAGCTGTATGCTCCATGTGCCATATGTTTTCCCCTTTTCAGGGCCATGTTCATCGGCCAGTATTTCCTGAAGGCGATTCATGTTTTCTCTATTTTGAAACATAACTGTAATTGTGTAACTGTGCTTGTTGACAATGAAGAAACCATTGGGCGAAAAATATTCTTCATAACAGTCTGTGCCTGTCCTATCCAGATTAACTGTTCTGGAGCAAAATCTCTCGTTACTTTCATAATTAATACTGCATGATGGCATCCTAAGCTAACATCCTGGTAAGTTTTGCATGATAAAAAGTGCTCTTTAAGACTTAGATCCCCAGATTTGTTGAACCCAGTCTGAATCAAATATTGCTCAAAAGAGATGTTCAGTCATATATATGCTGGTCACGATTTGTGGGTGATGCTCGTACAACGTGCCTACAAGGAATTCTGCCTAGATTTTTGTCATTAAGCTCATAGTTTCTAAATATGAGAAAGAGGTCATAATTGTCACTCAGTTTAGTTATTATAAACTACGAACCAATTACTGGGAATAGGTATTCATAACAAATTCAGACGTCATTTTCGTCGTCAGAGTTCACCATTATTATGAAAAGTAATTTGAAATTTGTGAAGGATTTTATATTCATTTATTTGTCGGTAATAAATGTACTTTTTCATAGGCAAATTTGTATCATTTTAAACCTTTTAAATAATGCCTACTATTTCCCGGCACCACAGTGAATTGTGTATGTTCGATCCCGACGTTCAATAATCTGTATAGGAAACCTCTAACCGTAATCGAAATATCTTAATCGGTTGTGTTTTGTATGATTGGAAGTTTTCGAGTGCCCATCATAACTATCTGACAATCCTTTGCAAAATAAAAAGAATCTCGTCCATGTGGCCAAAATTAACAGGGAGTAATTAACAATATTGGAAGAGCTGTTCATGCATTGACCAATTACACGAGAGCTCATGAAACCAACGAAATATTTGCTGTTGTCTTTAACAACGGAGCTTAGCACTAAACACAAAAGACGTGTTATAGGCTTAAATTAGTATTTACTAGTAGATCGTGTTATAATCCAAATCCCCCTTGAAAAGTTGTAAGCAGAAATGTTCATATGTTAAAACGGTAATGGGAAAATTTATACGAAGGCATTCGTTTGAAGGATGAGTGAATCGAGTGTCAGCACTGCTGATGAAGGCATCGCAAAAAAGATATTAATAATGTATCAGATGACTATGTATGGTCATGTGACCTCAATAATATTCATAACTGTAATATCTCAAGTACTTGTTGCAGATATGGACATGCCCAACATATCAAGTCGTCATCTGTGGTCAAGATTTGCCACTAGGAACTACTGCTTGCCGTATTTACAATATTACAATCTGTAGTCGAAATAAGACATCATTTTGCCTGCAATAAATTGCTTTAGGTGTATTGGATATGTGCCTCTACTATAGTTAATATTTATTAGTTGTACTTCATACCTTCAATATCCTCGACACACGGGAGTTCTTTGTAAGGTTTTCTGCTTGTATTTGCCACTGATGTCCAAACTTGATTGATTCTAACGAAGTGTTTCTCAATTGATTAAGTGTGCAGGCTATATTAGTTTGGGGCCGAAATCTGCGCATATTAATTATTTAGTTTATACCATAGCCTGTGAACTGCATGCTCATTTCTGTGTCTCCTTACATCAACGACTAGCTTTGCTACTATCAATCAACGGAAGATTTGTTTTATTCATGTGTTCATTACGTGCTGAATTCCCTTGGTCAGTTTGAGGATGTCGCAACTCGCGCCAACCTAACTCCAAATCCCTTGCATACGAACACATAATCACACGAAGAACATAGAACATTTGAAACCAAAAATTGTCATTCAAACTCGAGAGCCTTACAGTCAGATGACAGTTTCGGTTTCAAATACCCCGGGAAAGTGTTCGTATACGAAGGATTTGTCCACACACGAACACACGAATTTGGAGGAAATTTGTTAGCGGTTGGCCTAATGTTGCCCAAACGGATCATTTGGCTGTGAAAGATTGGGATTTTTTCTGGTTTGTAGGAATCCGCGTCAACTTATCTCTTATTTACTCGTAGTTTCATGCCGTATTCAAGATGGCGCCCATATAGTAAATATGGCATTTATTGTATTATCACTTGTACGGCATCTGACTATGAGCCTCAAAACAGGCCTTTCTGGGAATGGAAATAAACACACAGAAAAAGACATTCTGTCTCTCAGAGAAACACTGTGATAAGATCATTCCGTGTGCTTGACTGCTACTATAATTGGGCTTTTATCAGGGGGAGAATCTCTTCTCCTCTGGGTTCTCCACACGTGTCAGGGGGAACCTCGTCTCGTCTCTATATCTCGTCCCCCTGAGGTACGGGATCGGGGAAGTCACTTAAGCTTTACAGTCAAATAAGACACACACAACGAAATACGTTTCAACTCTCGTCTACAACTCTATAAGACACAGCGCCCTGGGGAAAAGTCCCCAAGACTATCGCAAGGCAGGCCCACGACTAGCCCAAGACTGGACTGCCTCAAGGCTCGCCCCAAGACTCTCCAGGACTGGACTCAGACTGCGTCTGTTCTGATGTACTCGCCAAGACCAACAAAAACTCTTTATTCATTTTCAAAACTCTAACCAATTACAAAGCAGTAAAAAGACTCTAGGGTGTAACCTTCAATCATAAAGCCAATCACACTAAGTACTGAATACGTCACATCTTTTGATTAATCGTTCACTACAGATACGATGTTATCATTTAAACCCTTTCAAAGATAAACATTATGCAAATATCTACGAAACGGCAGTTGTAGTCTTTTCTGCTAGTGTTTTAAAACACTAATTTGAGCAACGTGATTTCGCAATTTCGATCTTTTGTAAACCTGGGGTGATGTATCAAGGTCTAAAGTAACCGTTTTATCAATTTTTGAAAAATCAAGAAAAAAGTGAAAATTTCCCTTCTCGCTACCTTAATAACTACGAATATTAAACTGTCAGAAATAGTAGTCCGAATAGCGACGGTTATCTCGTAATTAGTTCCAAATCAGTGAGCCAAGTTCCGTCCAAAACTTCACATGGCCTAAACGGTGCCAGACATAACACAGCCATTCGCTAATAATCAGCTAATTAAGTCGATCAACAGATACGCAAAAACAATTTCATCACACTTTTAACAAATTCCTCTGACCGAGAAACAAGCCAGTTCAAAGAATGTGGAACAACATTCTGAATCACATGCACACCTCTTTGAAGAAACCGAAAGCATTTCAACTTTCACTAATGATTTTCCAATCATCAGATAAAGAAAGCAGGGGTTTGCGTCAACACAACCGCCACTGCCTATCTGTTTGCATCTTAACCCCGATCGTAGCTCCTTATTGGTGGATATCATGTATGCCCTGCACAACTATTCAAAACCATGTCGTCGAATATTATTAAAATTTGGTACGTAGGTGCCGTGGGATAAATGCACAGGCCTGATTTGCTTTGGAATGAAATCCGTACATATGAATTTGCATAATAATAACCCTCTTTTCAACTGTTTTTATGATAAGTGAAAAAAGGTGATTTCGTGCGCCGCGTTAATTTAGGCCTTTGTGTCAATTCAATTTCTCTCGGATAACCTTCAAATAGCGTAGCGTTGGAAGAGAGGGGGCAAGGGTTATTTTCGTTCAACGTAATTGCAATATTTTTTGTTCGTACTACGTAAATTGAAAAAAATAAATTCCGTAATTCTGTAATCACAGGCTAGACGTACAACGTAATCGATCAAATATTTTTTTCGTACACTGTAAAAATGTGTCATTTTCTCGGTACGTACAAGGATTTACATCCAAATAAAAAAATCGTAAAGAATAATCCAGGGAAATTACATTATAGAAACTGTAAAACGACTAGATGAAAAAATTCACTATAAAATTGAATGTCAAGACGTAAAAGGCCCTCTAATCGAATGAAGAGCATTACGAGGGTAATATGCGCGTGCATCTCTACACACGGCGCAGCAATGGCGGAGAATTTGAGCCGGAGAGCTCTTCGGACCATTCAATGTTCCTTTTTTTAACACTGTAAACTGTAAAAACGTCTTTTTTTCCTTGTAAATTGTAAAACGCCCTTTTTATTTCCCGTAAAACCGTACCAGCTACCCCCCTTGCCTCCCCTCTTGGAATAGATAACTACCAATTCAGACAAGTGTACAACACTTGGGTCCAACACTTTTTTGTCCGTCTCGTCTAACTTGAATTGAGGCAATATGTCTGCTTTGGTGTAACTGTGTTATCATTTTTATCGATAAGTGCAGTGATGCGACAAATCTGACGTATTGTTCTGCTTATGTTCCGATTATGCTCATTATATGTGCACATGGGTTTGAACAGCCAAGCTAATGTGGAATTACGTTTATTTGCACGACTCAGCTGTTCTGTTTCTATGACAATCGTCAAAGTTGTGCCGACCATAGTGTGAAAATATAAAATAATTCCAACCAGTCCACTTTTTTTGGACGAAATTGCTATTTTTGACTTCTTTTCCAAAACCACTACTCAAACACTTTTCAAATTTAACATACGAATACCGTGGACGGTTCTCTCTCAGAATTATTAACCTTTTATATGAATGTCTGTTACATAATTATCGTTGTGAATTCGAATTCAACACTATCCACAGACTTGTTTCTTCATACACATGTACATGACCTACTAGAAAATATAACTTGCTGCGAAACCGCCATGATAGTAACGCTGATTTAAATATTTAGTGTGGACCAATCAGATTACTGTGATTTGCATAATATATTGGGAATAAGCATTACATCGCTGTATTTACTATGATATGGGATAGATATATGTACTGAATATGTCCCTTTAATATTTTGTTCAAATCATAGAATAAATAGGTATGTAATTCGGTGGTTAGTTTGGTTTATATATAACAGTATTTTTATTGGTTATGAGCACATCTTTACGTTTTTAGTCTAGTAAGTCGATCGCAATTTCAAGTCGTTAAAGAATAAGAAGCTACACTAATGCAATTTGTTTAGATAAATGTATGTATATATGCAGATAAATAGCTAATTTGTTGACGAGCACTGTACTTGATATTTTTGGGTGAATAAGGCTACCAGGAAAAATGTCTGTCTGTCGTATCTATATTTATTATCAACAGTAAATCCAAATGGTCAGCATAAAAACGTTGTCTGCACTAACCTAACGTAAAAAGCATGACACGTGGCATTAATAATCTCTAAATAATAATACGTAGAATAAAATGTAATAAAAATATTCCTAGAATGCTAAAAACAAGGTGGGGGGGGGGGAGCGGGATTTTGAATAACTTCCCGCAATTGTGTTGTGTTCGAAAATCATGTATAAACGGGACATGTAGTCACATATGTGATTAAATAGCCATATGTCACACCATTGTATTTCATGGACTAATAATGTTAACAATTTTCACATCACTTATGAAATTAAATTTACAACGAATGTTATTGTTCTATTGTAATTATACATCAATTTCGAAAATTCTATTTTTTACCATTCACCATATTTTGTAATCCCACTACCTCGTTAACATTTGATGGCGACTCTCTGTTATCTTGCCGACATGTAGACGTTAATTCACTCAAAGTTGCTTAAAATTGGCCATAATTAGTGTCTGATCTGAGGATATATGTTACCATCATACAAGGTAGTATGAGCTGTTACTCAAAGTTAATGTTGTGACAGCACAGTTTGTTCAAAGTCTCAGAATTTGAATTTAGTTCAAAGTCCAGAACTTAAATTTGAATGCTCAGAACATTAATGTCATATGGGAAACAGTGCTATTGGCCTGTCTGACATTCTAGTCGAATGTAAAAAGAAATCATTTAATTTGACAAAAAATAGTCCGTTAACCAACTATAAACTTTTACCACCACTGCTGCCCGGCACCTTTTCCACCGCCATCAGGACCCCCGCCCCATTGCTTCTGTGCTTGATTTTGTTGTTGATTTTGTGGTTTCCATTGGCTAGCTTGGTTCTGAGGCGGTTTCCACTTATTCCCTTCATTCTGTGGTTTCCACTGATTATTACCCGTTTGACCTGCTGGTGGTTTCCATTGAGAACCCTGGTTTTGGCCCTGTGGTTTCCATGCATTACCCTGATTTTGTCCTGCTGGAGGTTTCCATGGATTACCCGCATTCTGCCCAGTCGGTTTCTTGTCACCCTGATCTTGACCTTCTGGTCGCTTCCATGGGCTCTGCGGGTTTTGATCTGCTGGTTTTTTCCAAGGACTCTGTTGGTTTTGGCCTGCTGGTGGTTTCCATGGACTCTGCTGCTGGGGTTGACCTTCTGGTTTTTTCCAAGGACTCTGCTGCTGGGGTTGACCTTCTGGTTTTTTCCAAGGACTCTGCTGGTTTTGACCTGTTGGTGGTTTCCAGGGAGTATTCCCGTCTTTCTTTTCCTGACCACCACCACCACCACCACTCTGCCCTTGTCCCTGTCCTCCCTGTCCTTGACCTCCAGTATTTGGTATTTGTTTTGCGGCTTGTATTTGAACCTGTGGAGCCAAAGGCCTTGGAACCATTGGTCCAGATGCACTTGATGACATGTTCAAATACGACGGCAATACAAAATCATGAATGTATAGTGTTTCAGAGCCTTGTGCTGTTCTTTCTCTCGCCACATGGTATGTCCACCATGAATTTGAAACGCCTACAAATAACTTAGCCCCTATAAAATAAAATAAAATAAAATGTTAGGAAATGTCAGGAAATGCACAAAGTACACACAAAGTTTCAAACATTGTATTGTATTACACAGTTTTTTCTAAAAACGATCTATGACATGTTCATATAATAGTTCTCAAAACCATCAGTCTTCCCGGATTCCTAGAACCTTGCTTTGTTACATTTTGAAATTCTCACAATATATAACGTGGTGTGTTAACGTCCCAAATAACGACGGCCAATATTTTTGTAATATCCTCGTCCATTTTACTGATGCACTGTTTCTTTATATTTGATACAAAATGGCAAGATGCAATATTTTGTATATCCTTGCAGATGCTTCTGACAATGTGTAGATGTTTGCATTCATTTCTCCAATTATTCCAATCGTGTACGCATAATAGGCACTTTGCATGAGTGGGATTTTTCAAAAAATATGCTACATGGAATAACTAACAGTTGTTAATTTTCTGGTGGGAACAGTTACAATGAAAAAAATGTTTTTGTCTCAGAATTTCAAACACATCGAATTTGAAATGAGGAACACTCCTGGTGGTTATGTACTTTGTACTAATATATATTACAAGTTATAATTTTAAACATAAGTTAGATCAACTCAAAATAAAATGTATATGTACCCACATGAATACTGGGTCATCAACATTTATATTTTTTATATATATTTTCAACTACATGGATTGGCTACATTTGCTGTTTCCTGATTTAAACTTATAAGTGTGCTGATTACACATTTGTTATACTTACTGACGCTTATTTCTTGTTCGACTAATGATAACAAGTATTCATTGGATTTGAGCAGTAATCGGTATGGCGTGTTCAACTCAAAAATGTTATTGAAAGTCTTGATTCCCTTTATGGACATCGATAGATCCCGCATGTGCCCCTGATTGAAAAAGATATTACACGATAAATACAGTGTAAAGGGGTAAGAATCCACACATCGAAGGTCAGTGTTTTTATTGGTTATATTTGTATATTTGTACAAAATTAAACAACATATTCTACATTAAATTTCTCACCAACATTGTGTCTGGGCTCAAAGCTGCATATGCACAGTCGAGTTGGTGTTTATCCATCACTGAAGTTAATATGCCTGAAATATTATGGGACGGCATTGGAGAAGTGTAACATGCTGTCCTCTTTTCTTTGGGTACCATAACCTCGCACCTGTGTAAATTATGCAAATAGATTAATAATCTGATAATAATGTTCCCATAGTTGAGGCGAAATAATTTCTTGTGATTTCGTGGACAGCTGTAAGAAATTATGTTTAGATTTCAAACACACTAAGTTAGCAAGACATACCATATTTTCTTGACATCTTCATTGAGGCTCCAATGTACAGACATAAATTGACAGCCTTTGAAGAGAAGTCTGATAAACACTCTGGCCATTGCTTGAATTGAAGGAATTTTCTTGAGATGAGAATCTATTCTTGGTAGCATGTCCTGGTTGAATACTGGTGCAGGCAACTTTCCGAGATTGTGTGGCCAGTATATTCCAAGACATTTAGCTTTATCAGAGTCAACAATCTTATTCAGGCTTTCAGTTTCTGTTTTCGGCACAAAATTTTTTCCAGGGAACTTCATTCCAAATATGTTACCTAATCGTATCCTGACAGTTTCATATACTTGATCATACGTAACAGAACTTTTTCCTTTAGTGACCGGAGGTCCATGGACAACTACACCAACAGTACTTTCACAGTCCGCTTTAAACTGGGCCACAGATGCAATTGGTACAATGTTACTTAGTCTGACTAGATCAAATGTTTCATTGAATAGTCTTCTGTCTGCTATATTAATCATGTGACGAGGGAAAAATGGAGATATAACCAATGTTCTACCATGTTTAATAGCAAATCCAATGGCTGTTTTCAAACTATTGAATTGATAATTTGGACCACCAACACCTAATCGGAACATGGGAAACAGATATCTAGGGCGGAACTCTTTAACATCAACCATTTGTCCTTTTGACATTATATATTCCTTTGGAAGTATTTCTGGGGCTGGAGCTTCTGTTACAACAATTGGAATTTGTGGCTTGTACATTATTTCCAGATCAGGCATTACAGGGGAATCAGGCTGGTCGTATGGCACTGCTTGTGGAACATCAGCCTTTGCTTCAGACTGAGAATAAGCTTGGGGAACAACAGGAACATTCATTTGACTATCTAAGCTTTGTGGGACAGCCTGGGGTACAGCTTGAGGAACACCAGGAATATTCATTTGTGGTACAGCTTGGGGAACCCAGGGAACATTCATTTGATTACCCAACGATTGTGGCATAGCTTGTGGAACAGCTTGGCCACCAGGCTGGTATGCCAGTGGAACATTCTGTGGAAGAGCAGGGAAAGGTGCCTGCCCACCAAGAGCCTGAGCAGGAGAAAGTGTGGTATATTTCTCTTCATGGAAGGGTGCTTTATTTTTGTCGGGATTTGGGGTTGTTAACCATTCATCAAGTCTTATTGGTTTGAAGTCCATATCAGCTGCATTTGCATCTGCTCCTAAGTCAAACTCGTCGTACTGGTCATCCCCTAGAGGGCCTGCTTGTAATCTATCACCTTGGGACAATCTTAATGCATCAAACGCCATTTCTTCTGCATTACTTCTATCTGCAATTATCAAAGGCGGAAAAGTATCATCCTCCGTTCCTTTAGTTTCCAATTCATCTTCTGTTAATGCCACAAAATCATTGGGTGCAGGTGTTTTTTGTATATCTGTATCTGGTATCGATGGTTTTGATGTCATCATATATGGTCCATCGTCATCTTGGACTACTGTGGAAAATTGTGCAGCGAAAGTGAATGTCATCATATTGTCGCCAGTGTCCAATAAGTTTTCTGGCGACTCCTGAAACATGAAGAAAAATACAATACCAGTTAGTAAATGTTAACTTGGTTGTTGTAACTGTTCACTAATCATTAAGACAATATTTGTGTGTGTTTAATTTACATGCATGTTTCATATGTAATATTTTCCCACTCACAGAAAGAATGTCTTCAAAGCCAATACCTATTTTTTGTTCGAACTACATTGAACAGTTGATCTCCAGGGTTTGTACTTGACTATGTAACCATAATTCAACTTCCTGATTTACTTTATTATTCATGAAGTTAAATTTTGTAAAATATAGTGATTGGTTTCCGTGTTTGCACATGTGTAAAACAAATTTCACTGAGCTTCAGTTTAAAATCAGCTCATTGTGAAAGATCTGTTATCATAATTTAATATATGATTGTAAAATATTCTAATAATCTATTACCTACTACTAGCATATGCTGATAGAGTGCAGGATATATTAATCTTACTACCTGATTGACTTGTTGATCTGGCACTCTGTATAAAAAATACCTTACTTGCTTGCAGGATGAGTGTCATATGAGTGTCTTAAGCTACTACTTAACTGACCTGCCAGTGAAGTCAGCATAACATGGGAGTTCTTCGCAATCTTCCACTTGACCAACCAGCAGGTAGGGCCCAAAATGCCATGGAAGATCTTCGTAATCTAGTACCTAACTGACCTTCCAAGGGGGTCAGCATGGTATGGAAGATCTTCGTGACCTACCGTTTGACTGACCTGCAGGTGGAGTCAGCATGACATGGAAGATCTTTGTAATCTACCACATGACTGACCAGCAGGTGGAGTCAGCGTGGCATGGAAGATCTTCCCAATCTACTACCTAACTGACCTTCCAGTGGAGTCAGCATGGTATGGAAGATCTTCGTAACCTTTCACTTCACTGAACTGAAGGTGGAGTCAGCAGGGCATGGAAAATCTTTGTAATCAACTATAATTATGATTCTCCAGAACGTGAAGTCTGAATGGCATGGAATCTACCATGTGACTAACTTGCAGGTGGAGACAGCATGACATGGGAGATCTTAGTAATTTACCACTTGAATGACAAGCAGGTGGAGTAAGCATGGTACGGAAGATCTTCGTAATCTACAACAATCATGACTCTCCTGAAGATGGAGACAGAATGACGGTGGCACAGAGGTCTGAAAGCTGAAATCAAGCTGAAACCCTTGTTTCAGCAGAATTTGCCCCTCAAAATGCAGGAAATAGCGGGTCTATATTTCAAGGGGGAGCATGCCCTGGACCCCTAGTAAGGTGGCGCCTTAGGCGCAAGGTTGGTAAGCAGATCCCTCATGCAAAATTCTTCGTAATCTACCACATGACTGACCTCCATGTATCAAGTATATGGTTTTGGACATTTTAGCATTAGTGGTGCTAAAAAGCAGTCAATAGCTCGTGTAGAAATGACTGGCTGCTAGCCATCAAATCAAAAAGAAGATAGTTCAAATCCATTCAAATCCATACTTAGTAAGTGTTCATGTTTCACGAAATGTAATAAGGGCTTAACCGATTATCGGATAATACACGTTAAACGCCTGTCAGAATATGTCAGTGCGTCATCGAAAAGGTTGTATCTATTTTTACAAACTATTAGTATTTTATATTTGATCAAGGGTCGATGAATTGTTCGGCTGCCGTTACGAGTTGGAAACTCCCTAAGTCAGTGCAAATATATACCAAATTAATTGAATTCACACTAGTCTTTACCACAAAACTGCCTCATCGAGACAAACTATTCGATGAATTGTCCCACTAGTCGTCCATACTTCCTTAGTTCCGCAAACAAACCAATAAACATATGAGCAAGCATGAGCATATCTATTACATTTTAATTTATTTTACATTACAACTTCAGTCAACGACATGTTACCAAAAAACGTTTGTTCACGGGGCACCTTGCTAAATGAACAACAGTTTTGTTCATTGGTGAACGCCTTTGTTCACGATTAGTGTGAATAATTTTCGCCTGTGAAATGGCTGTCATTTTGTAATACTTATACATTGGGCGTATTCTTCGACACGAAAAAAAAAATGCATGCGTTTGATTGCAGTGGCCATTAAATTACCGCTATTCAAAAAGACATGTTCACGTGTGCACGGTGTCTCCATTGTAACAGTTTTTTATTCGATATCGTCTGCTGTGGAATAAATCATGCCATAATTTTATCAAATCTTAAAGATAACATTAGGTTGAATTGCGCAACGCGGGTTTTATTCTTTCTGGATATGAAATCAAAATACAGTTAAAACTAGTATGTACAAATAAAAATGAATGGAAACAGCTGCCACTCGTTTTTCATTGACAAACAACCCATAATCCTTCCTATCGCCGTTAAAAATTGCCAACGATTGTCATGCCAACGTTTCGTCATCTTGTGCCCTAATTGTAAGTGTTTTCCTGTAATGTGCGATAATCGGATGAAAGTTCAAGGTTCAATTCGTGCTTTATTCAATATGCTTAATTATCATTGGTTACATATTTGATTTAATTTCCAGGAAAATAATTTGAATTATTTGGAGTATTCCAGACAGACAATGAGCTGTGATACTGGAGATTGATTAAGTGAATGATTTATAATTTTAACCTAAAATGTATCACACACATTAAAATTTTACTATTTACTGTATTAAAGGGCGGAAGTCGTCGCGCCACGCATGCGCGATATATATGGGTCTCATATAAACAAAGATGGCGACTTTGATGGTTGCGGAGACCAACGAGTACAAACTGGGACCAAGCCTTAATTAGGTATTTTATCAGGTGATTTGAAGGTATCAAATGAGGTAATTAGTGCAAGTCGCGTCGAGGTCAAACCTCATACTTGTGATTTCCATTAGAAGAGCGAATTTCCACATTTTTCATTTATCGAATGGGAAGCTGTCCTGACCAACCATTAGTAAGTGTTATACACAAATTATTTCACCAAATTTGCCACATTTCAGGTTTATAATTTTTTGTTTGTTGCATATTTAAATTACACGACAGTGATGCTGACAATGTATTTTTAGCAAAGTTTGTTTATTGATTTCAGAAGTAATTGTATATTAATTCGATGAAAAACTTATATAACATTTTACCAATAAATTATAAAACTGAATATTATTCAAAGCAGAATTACAATTCAAACCATTTTTCTACAGGGTGCCTGCAATTAACTGTAATATACCGATTCACTATGAGCATTTAATTCTTCTGTCAATATAAATGATTCACGCTTTACTGACACGATGAAAGAGGTTGTCAGTTGATAAAAAAAATTGCAAAAAGCGGTTAGCCTGCTGACACAGTAGATCCTATGAAGCGCATGAAATCAGAAATCGCTGCCACCGAAATGAAACATTGGGGTAAATACCAAACACAAAGCCAGTATTGATAGCGTGCATATTACATGCGTCACGCAGACTCTCAGTGTACAGGCAATACACACGCTTTGCTGTTCTCGGTTGTATAAAATTGAATATACATAAAAACCTGTTATTCCAGACTTGTAAGGTGTTATCATTAGTATAGCAATATTGAATGTTAGTACGCCATGAAAATTATTCTGCTTAAAGTAAAATGATGAACAGTTGTAATAATCTTGTGAATTTTAGCCATTTGCTTAACATGTTTCCTGCTAGGTCTTTAAAATCAAACAGGTATTTTTCTTCAATCTTTTGGAGATAATGTTCTTATTCGTGCGATTGTGTGTATCTGTGTATATTGTTTTTGATTTGTTTATATGTAGTTTGTATTTATACGGAAAATATAATAAAATAAAATAAATATAAATAAATAAATACTTTTTAATCAAACATGTATGAGTATAACGAAATAGAAGTAATTAAATAGAACATAAATAAAAAGCCTAATGTATTGCTCTCATGCTTGATAATGGAATACGATTCCACTACGGTGCTACAGGGATGCACGGATATTAGTATTTGGGTAAGTTATTTTACATTGTTCTTTTGTGTGTGTAGGATTTGTTGAATAACAATGTGTTTAACATCTCTACGGACATGGACAATCCATCTCAGCGTCATAAAAAGATTAATTCACGACAGCTGTTGAATATGGTGTGTACAGTCCACGTATCTGCTTTACATGCCAACATATGCCAACCATATCACACTGCGTAAATTAAATTTCGGATTGAAATTATTTAATTTTAATTATTCTGAAATAAATATTTTATAAAATTGCTCCGACACAAAATAAAGGCTTTTAAAATATTCGTCACATCGCTAATTATATATGGGCAGCAATTCCTTGTTTCATTAACACATATTTGGTGCCAATAATTAAGAGCCTAACCTTTTCACTTCCGTCAGTGTGTGGAAAAAATATTTCAATGCTGTGATTTTAAACTGCGGGTAATAGAAACAGAGCCGTAAGTTGGACCTATTGTCGTTATCGCGTGATTAATTTGCTGGTAGCATATGTATGTCTGTTGACATTGCGACCGTCAACCCCCATGTTTTCCACGTCATTGTATGGAGACACAAACCGTGATCTGCGTAGCGTAGCGAATGTCAGTTATTAGGCATTTGCCGGCATTTCATGTAAACAAACATTTCCAAAAGTGAAACTTATATCTATATGGAAAATATTATACGTATTTATTCGGCGGTCACGCTGGCCTTGATATCTCCTAACAACGGGAGGGGGGTCCGCCCTCCAGTAGTCGGATCTGAATTGGGCCATGGAGTCTGTCTTCTACCTCCATGATTGAACACATTGAACGAGAACTAAAAACAACAGTCGTTTATACATGTATTCATTAAAGTGGATGTGACGGCGTAGTGAATACTAGTACTCCATAGTACTCCATTCCCATTGATTGTTAAAACGCGGTAGTCGTCGCGCTGCGCATGTGCGAGATATATTGGTCTCATATAAACAAAGATGGAGACTTTGACTGTTGCACTGATCAACGAGTACGAACTGAGACGTTTCCAAGCTTTAATTAGGTAATTTTCATGTGATTGGAAGGCATCGTGAGAGTTACCGGCGGTGAACAGTGAATAACGCGCCCAGATCAAACCTCATACTTGTGATTTCCATTTGAAGTGCGCATTGGATTGTAGGAAAATCAATGTTTATCAACACAAATTTCGCACATGCGCAGCGCGACGACTACCGCGCTTTAAGCTGGGAAACATGTTAAGGCATGTGTACCGCTGTGGAAGTGTTACTCCTGAAAACTATTTCAATTCAGAGTTACATACGTTATCGCAGGTGAATATTAAATTAGGGCATCACAATTGGGTGGCATGCAAATATGTATCCCGGAGTGTCGTTGCGTATTCATAGAGTGTATTTATGTATTCATAGTATATGCTCGCGTTTGTATAGCGTGTCTCACGTATCCATTGCGTGTATTTGCGTATTCATAATGCGTCTTTGCGTATTAACAACGTGTCTTCGTGTATTCATAGCGTGGTTTTGTGTTTTCACATCGTGACTTCGCGTCTTGTTAGCGTATTCAAAGCTTATCTAGTATATAGTAATTTCACATAATATTATATATTTTTACGTTATCGTTCCGTGTGTTCACGTCATTCATAGCGTGTCTCTGCGTATTTATAACGTTTTAAAGTATCCAAAACAATCATGGGTCATTAGTTTCTCCGCAAATCGAAACTGCTTGTAATAATCGTTGCTAATCCGACAATTTACGTACCTACGCCCGTTTATTTTTCAGATACACTGGCACAAATATTGGTACAAAGAACGTTGAACAAGTTCCATACACACCAAAAATAATCACTTTACATAAGCCGATATTCAATTTACAATATTCTAGCTTGAACAAACTATAATTGGTCAGAACAAGTTCGATTAACACCGACGGATAACAAATTGAAAACTTGCATGGAAATAGTAACTACACGCTCTCGTAAAGTACCGGAGTTCGCATCGTGTGTTTTCAATGCGATTTTCGTCGAATGTATGTTTATGGAAAAGTTATCCATCTTTTTACGTTATGCATGTATACCATAGCCGCACTATTCCGGTCCGTATTTCCTGTTCATGTTTCCACATCCCCCTACAAGTCTTTCGTACAATATATAATAATAACTCATTTTCTGATAAATGGGTTATCTTTCCAATAAGATTACGTTTAGTGACAAGGGCTATTTATCTCTACGTATGTACATCAAGACGGTACAAACAAATATTTTTCTAATTATCATTTAGTTCACACCGTCACCAGGGAAACGTCATATACCACGTGACAACATTTCTTACCGGGCGCTTGATTTAAAGCGTACCACAAGTTATCTAAATTATCTAAATGATAAACAACGAACTATATTTTCGCTTCTTATTGACAAGCTTAAATGTTGAGTCAGTTAACTTGGAAATGTGTGTTTTCCTTACAAGTACTTCAAGCTGTGGTACATAAAATATAACTATTTAAGTGTCAACTTCGGATGGAACTACATATGTCAAACGTTTGCATAAAATGCTAAGAGTTGGGTCTGGAAACGTAATAGTATGACTAGCCATGTTTTCACTCGTCTTAACATCTTTAATTGGAGCTTATGGTTGTCGGAGAACGAATGAGGGCGTGGAATCGCACGATCGATGTCAACGAACATGATCACAGCAGTTTTGATATATATTAATATAGAATATTTATTAAGTACTTACTGTTGTCGCTTTGAGTCCCATGTCTGTCATTATTTCCTGTAGATCCATCTGCCACATTTTGTCCTCGTCGCTGTCACTGGAAAATTGAAGTGAATCTATTGAGCGAATCAAACTAGGGTTGTTGTGAACTTTAACGAGAAATACGCATAGAAAGCCAGACATGGCGATAAGAAGGTAAAATTTCAACAGTCTTGTGGTGTCTTTGTGTATATTAATACAGTGCAGCTTGAGTTTCACAAGGCTCTTCATGATGTTAGCTGAACCAAGGGAATAGCGTTGTGGACACCGTGTCACAGGGAGGAAGGGTCAACCAAAATGTGACAGCCGTCATATGCAAATAAGGAATCTGTACAGCTTGCGAGGGGATTAACGCGAGTTACATTTTTTTGTTTAGTATACATATTATCAATGGTATATTGTTGATTCACATTACAATATGAATGACACGTTAGTATTCGGACGTGTCACAGCAACTCCATGTATGCATGCTGTGACGTGGGGCAGACAGACATCAACTTGTAAATTTCATAGTGACTCCATCCTTTCATGTATCACTGTCATAGACCAAAGAATAGAACTACAACATCGTAATATTAAGTGCGAATTGTAGAAGATAGTTTGACTTCAAGATATTACAGTGTATTACCACAACACCAACCACGCCCACTAAGTCAGATGAACCCGGGATTAAACCTTCATATTCAATAGATTTAAAAGAAAAATTAACATTCAGCTTAAATGACAACTTATGTGAAACAATAAATTAAATGTCGCATTAGTCAATCGGTTGCGTAGTATCACGTGGTTCATTGCTGAATACTTTCCCACCATAACTGTATATTTGATCAGGGCATGGAAGGTACTATACCATCCATGGTCAGGGTGACATCCATCACAGTACACTTGCAGTGATCCTCGTTCAAGCGACATGGGCCAAAATATTAAAAAATCTTAATATTAAATTAATTATTGCGATTTGCTTCAAAACGACTGCTAAACGTCAGTAAACTATCGGTTTTATACATATCAAGTAAAACAGCAATTCAACATATGAACATTTGTGCACACAAATATTAAATAATTTATTTATTTAAAAAAAAAACAATATGCTTTTAACAAACTATACTATGTTTTTGTGGACTCGGACTTGTGTTGTTCTACTTTCTGAAATTGATGTTCACAGACTGACATTAATTTCATTTATTGAATAGCGATCATACTTCAACTCTATAGGATTTGGATCAATAAGTACTCATTAGCATGACAAATGTTAGTCATGTGACAAATTGAAAAATACACATAAACTGGATTTTCTTTTGTTGGCACGTGTACTGTACGTTGACATCTCCAAATTGACGAGTTCATAATATTACCCGTCTACTTTATTGAATTTCTTTGCCAAATCTGTGCTGTCTTTGCTAAATATTCGTGTTACAGGAACAGTGCGTGTTTATTATAGCAGACATGCTATTTACTTTACTTTTATACTTTTTGCTTTGAAGGTAAGGACGAATTTTAATCCAGATTTGCATCTTTTGTTTTAAACCTTGTCACCATTGTTTATATTTTCGTTTCAGCCTTTCATCTCTTCCGCTTGCTCAACAAAAGGAGTTGCACTCACGACTTTTTGGACTGAACAAAAATTTTCGACCGCAACTTACTATGCGTATGAGAAAATAGGCGGCGGTATACATGCGCAGAACGGTTCACATGACGTCATATGCCATTAGGAAAGCCTACCACTGAGACGAAATACTTGTTAGTTGTTTTACAATGCTGGTAGATTATTAGCCTGACATGTAGGCGTGAGTAGGCCCTCGCCGGCCGAACGGCATCAGACCTCACTTACTAGTGGGTTTGGAGCACCGCGGAGAGCGCAACTCATGTGACCTCGTCAGGCTGGTAGATGAACGACTGCTCCGTTCCTGTAGAAAAAAATGTTTCAGTTCGAAAACGAAAAAAGCAAAACAAAACAAAAAACACGCATTGAAAGATTCAGTGGGGCTGTATACCACACAATGTCAGAAAAGCTCAGTCGATTACAAGTGCGAAATTGAAAAAAAAACTCCGCTAGGATTTCCTTTAAAATCACTTTTGTGTGTGTGATTTTCAGTGTTTTCACCTATTAATTCTTCTGTGAATGTTTTTGGCTTAGCCGATTTCGCTCAAATTAAGCAACCAGGTCATACCATTACTCCAGTTAGTAGGTAAAATTTGAAAACCATAGAAACTGATTTTTGAATAGTTTCTCGCCAAATGTATCTCCTCCTACAAATTTAGGATTAAACACCTCGGACATAGATCATTCTGCTATTTGATTTTTATGATATCTTTTTTCATTACCGAGAAATGTTATTCCAAAATTGGGGTAACTGTTACCTCGTACCAGTCTTGTAATAGCAGTGTTCAAATGATCAGGCTTTTTATTTTGGCTACGTTGCGCACCGACCAGTGATCATCGACCCGACATTGTTATAATGTATCAATTTAATCCCAACGCAACTTTGAACTTTGAATGAACTGTAACATTTTTTAGCACTTTGTGCAAGGTTTGCACATACGTAAATTGACCTCAAATGTCGTAGAAGAATGAAACATCTCTACAAATTAACTCCAGTCGATCGAACGCTTCTGTTGTGTTCATAACAATTTACTGCCAAAATGATTGAAAACATTAATATTGGAATAAATTAGGTAACGCTAAAACGTTTCTTCATTTCTATAACATGTTGAGAAAATGGTTTAAAAAATATGCCACAAACTTGATTGAAAGCAACACTCATATGATAAATTAGACAATATTTGCTAATTTTCAAGAGAAATATTTATTGACTCCGCAACATTTGCACTTTTGTGAATTATGATGCAAACAATATGCAAAACAAGATTAATTTGCATAGATTAGATTTATGCCATATATATAGACATGATCTGGAATGGCCAAAGTGGTGATGAATAACCTAATATGCAAATTTTGTTATCATGTCCACACCTTTTTATTTATCCCGGAGACGTAGACAGACAAAAACGTAACAACCTTGACATAGGAACATACCATCCTTGGTGGAGGAATAATTAAGCCCGCAGGTACATCTTTAAAAAAATCGCCAACTCCTTGTCGTGAATTTTTGGAGCGGGGGTACTATCATTGGTTATCTTTAGTTGAGTATTTGTACCATCTTCAATTGTCAAGGTATAACGTTCCAGCTCACGGCCTCTACATATTGGCGGAGAGACGGAAGAAACCATGTGATCCGACGATGATTTTTATCATCCTAACGGCTGTCTCTGAAAAATACTAGTAGAAACAATAGTACGGCAGTGACGGGTCCGTTTTAGTGCGAACTCTATTTGGCTATCGTTAATCGGATCATGAAAAAAATGCATGTGCATATGTCCTATATAATGTGTGATGTATGAGTGAATTTTGAACTTAATCGGTCCATGCATGTTCGAAATACAGGTGATCACGGACGCACGGATGCACGGACGCACGGACGCACGGATGTACGGACGTACGGACGCACACGTGGACTAATTAGTCTGAAAACATTACTTGAACGAGTACGTGCATCCACAGTAATAAGTGCGATGAAAAGCCGCGGCGGAATATCTAAAGTGATACGTGAGTTTGATGCAAATAATGTGACTAGACTACATTGACACAATAAAGGAAAATTGGTGACCCAGTAGCCAACAATATGATTTATATTTTTAGAAAAATGTAATTTTCTGTGGACCTTGACTGCTTTACTAACGAATACATGCGCGGGTCCAAATCTTTTCGGTGTCGTTATAAAACCGAACCATGTGAGAAATTGCACACCAATCTTAATATAACACATGCTGGTTTAGCTGGTCAAATATATTTGTTCCAGTCCCACGTCTCATCGCGCGTAAAAAAATCGTTCGAATGAGTGCATCCCTGCGTCCTCATAAATTATTCTGTGAGATAAAAAAACCGTGACCGAATATCTAAATTGACACCACGTTTTGTTTTTTCTTGAGAATGGACAACAAAAGCAACTTGTTAATCAAATTATCTTGACAAACTCATGTTGACACAAAGGACAACCGGCGTAGTTCACGGCCCAGCAGCATGTATTTTGTTTTGGACCTCAATCGCATTATAACAACCTGCGTGGGTTTGAATCAGTTCCGTGTCTTTATAAAATAAACGCTGTGCGTGATTTGCAATCCAATCAGATACTTCCAGCGTGGCTGGCTTGGCAATTGCAATTGTTTTGTTTTCCTCAGTTTCCTACGCTTGAAAATATCTCGCTCGAACAAGTGCATCCTCGTTCTAAAGCCATGACTGTATAACGGAAACAGACATTCGTACTTCTGAAACTATACCGATTTTCACGGCCGAATATTATGCCTAACTTGGGCACTGATTAACGGGTACCCTCTTCAACTCTCCTGTCGTTCGTACTTGTTCAGGAACTTTTGTTTTCCCGACAATAGCATTAACACTCAACATTCCTCGATCCCTCTTGATCAGAAAAATATATATTTAACACTCATCGCCAGAAAATTGATGTCAGTGTTCACACTGCTAAATTTATGTCTCTGTCTAATAGAGGGAGCTCTTAGCCAATCAAGGTTCATTAGAACGAACCATACGTTTCCCATTTAAGCGGTTGGCCATTGGAAAATCGTGGCGGATACAAATTTGCACAGTTGTTCTTCCGACCATGAGTTTCTATTTGTGAATCCAACGACTGTAATTATTTGTTAGAACAACATTGTTCTTTGACTGGACGCATGGAGTCGGGGAGAGCAACTGGTGGCGCTGTATACAATCGATATCAATTGGACCTATTGAGACCTATTGGACCGATTGCGGCTTGCCGCAGCTCATTTCTCAGGTCCTGAGAGCGAGGTTATTTGTAGCACGGTTACTAAAAAAGACGGTTAGGAAACGCTATTGTTAAAAGGTGTGAATCGGCCAAATCCCTCAAGGATGCGATACTCCAAACATTGGCGGCGCCCTCTCTTCCGTTCCTCTCACTCGGGTTTTCACCACTGCCACACCGTAATTGGCATATGTTCAGTAATTTGTTCAACCAAAGACAATAGAAAGACAATAGAAAAGAGGGATACGCAACTACGGCAAACATGAAAGGAAAGTAACGGAAGTTCCGTGCAAGGTCTCTTGGAAACAATAGCCGTTACGTAAACTTGGAGTAAATGCTCTCCGGGCGCCATTTTAGAATCTGTCTTTCACAGAGCAACAGTGCTGGCAACTTGTTTTCGCAATTATTTACATATTCACCGTCAAATCGCCGTATTTTA